CCCGCCCCCGCCATCCCTAGAGGATAGCTTGAGCATCACCAAAGAACTAGTCGACAAAAACTGCTCGCCCATCAATCTGGAACAGTTGGAGGAAAACCTGGGCTTTGACGCCCCGGAGGAGCCCTCAAATTGCCAAAGCGAGGATTCCGATGACAACCCGAATAAATCGCCAGGTTCGAAGAGCATGCCCATCATCGACTTCTTCGGCGAGGCCGCGATCAGCAAGGCCGAAGGCCCCGATGGGGAGGAGGAGGTTAAGCGCGAGGTGGCCGAAGAGGGAAACAGTGAGGCCGCGGAGCCCAACCCGGACAAGGAGGTCAAGGAGGAGGCCATCGAGCCTGTGAAAGACAGCGCGTGCGAAGTGGAGATCAAAACCGAACCGCCTACCAAAGAACCCAAAGAGGACTCGGAGCCTCGCCCGGAGAAGCGCAGCCGCATCTTCTCAGTGGACGACATCATGAACAACATCGGCCACAGTGCGAGAGCAGGCGGCAACGGCGCCAGCCCCTTGGAGCTGACCCAGAGTTTCATCGACAAAGAAGTGGAGTTCTCCTCCTTGGAGCAGCTGCAGCCAATTAAGGCGGAGGTTAAACCAGAAGTGCACGTGGTGGAGGACGAGCCCTCGAGCAGCATCGTGAAGGTGGCCGGCTCCTCCACAGTTCTCCAAGTGGCGGGCGAGCTGATGGAGATCACCGTGGAGATGGTGGAAGGCAAGAAAATCATCAAGGTCAAGCCCCTGTCGAGTTCCGCCACAATTATCGATGTCAACGCCAACTATGAGCAGCCCATTGAACCTGCAGGTGGCGATGAGGACGAGGTCAGTGGGAGAAGCCCCAGTCCTGCCCCAGTGGGAGAAGTCTTGGAGGCGCCAGCCACCCCAGTTGCTGAAGGGGCCCCTCCTCCAGTTGATCCAACATTGGGGCAGCCGATGGAGGAAACTGCTTCAGTTGCCCAGGCAGAGCCCACTGTGGAGGAAAATCCTACGTTTCCGGCAGAGGCCGGTTCAGACTCAGTTGCAGAACCACCGGCCGCTGCAGGGGAGGAAAACGTCGCCGAACCGGCCCCAGCCTTTGATGACGCCTCAGATGCGAACAGAGCGTCACCTTCTGAATCCCATGAGGGTGCAGAAGAACCCGCTGAAACCCTGCTGGCGGGCGAAGAGGGCGAGGAACCACCACTGGGCTTCGCCCAGTTCGAGGAAGAGCCGCTGCACTTTGCGATGGAAGACGAGGTGTTCATCGAGGATCCCCCCGCGCACGAGGTGATAGTGAGCGACCCCTTGGAAGGGCTGGGCCTGATCGAGGAGATCCTTCTGGAGCCGGTCACCACCAGCGAGCTGGACGCCGTCCCAAAGATCGAGCCTGAACCGGCTGACCCTGAGCTGGACACCAAGGACACCGTCACCATCAAGGCGGCGAAACTGGAGGTGCAGATCCTCTCGCCGACCTCCACCAACTTCGAGGACTTCGCCTCGCATCGCCCCAACGTGTACTGCAAGGGGGCGCGCAAGTGCAGCTCGGACAACGACGTTGCGGACTACACAGTGGCCACCAAGGCGGCCAAGAAGCTCTACGACTACGACCTGCAGGTGCAGCACGACATCGTCTCCTCGTCCAAGAAGGAGGAGCTGCCCAAGAGCAAGAAGGCCGCCCCGAAACGCTCCGTGCGCCTGACGGAGAAGACGCAGACCACGACCGAGCAGAAGGAGGCGCTCAAGCAGCTGGTGGAGAAGCGCAAGCGGCGGGAGGAGGTGCGCCCGAAGGAGACTAGGGAAGAGGCTGCGCCTCCCGGCGCTTTGCAGCCGGAACGGGACGAGGAATATGTGGACTTCAAAGAGCTGTTGCGGGCGCGCAAGTTGAAGAAGCTGAAGAAGATGCAGGAGGCAAGCGGGGACGGGGAGCGGCCGGTTGGGGGAGCTGCAGAGCCTCAGCCGCGGGAAGAGGAGCAGACGGCGCCCCAGCTCCCAGAGAGAGCAGAAGTGAAGTTGCGCGAGCAATGTTCCTCATCCACAGCCAGCGTGTCCAAAGCGCCTGTTCTGGTGCCGAGCATTTCGGAGCTGATGGAGGAGAACAACGCAACAGCGAACAAGCGGAAGATCAGCCTGGCGGACTACGTGAACAGGAAACGGAAGGCGAGCAGCGCGGACGCTGACCAGCCCAAGAAGCCCAGGCTGGAGCCAGAGGAGGCAAAGCCGAAGCCCGGCCGGACGTTGAGCGACATGAAGACCTCGTTCGTTATCCACTCGTCCGACTGGGAGGACTCCCACTCGCCCCAGCCCGCCCCCTTGGAGGCAAAGGCGGAGCCTGTGAGGGACGATTTCAGCGCGCTGATCAGCAATCCGGTCGTCAACATCAACGAGCTGACGCCAGTGAAGAATCGCGAGGATCGCACGCTGCAGGAGTACAAAAACAAGGTGGAGTCGCAGCTCAGCTCGCTGAACATCCAGATCCCCAAGGCGAAGCCGCAGACCAGTGGCAGGTCGCCGGCGTTTCGCCCGCCCCACAGCTCCGATCTGGTGAAGCGGTTTCTAAACAATGAGAAACTGTCGGAAAAGGAGATGGAAAAGATCAGGAAAATCATCTCGTACAAGCGCTCCATCCAGGACCGGCGACAAATCAGAACGCCGAGCGAAAGTGCGACCGAATCGAGCTTCGACGGTTCGCCGTGCTCCACCTACGAGGTGAAGAACAGCTCGCGGATCGAAACGAACCCCAGCGAAGTGCGGCTGCACATCAAGAAGGTGAACTCGAAGCGGAAACTGGCGTTCGGCCAGCCGCGACAGGATCTGAGCGCTCAGAAGGGCCAGAAAAAAGCCGTCGGCTACTCGGTGATCAACCGGCTGGGGCAGGACGGCATGCCGAAAATCGTCTTCAAGCGGCATAAAAAAAGCCTAGCCAAAGAACCCGTCGTTGAACTGGTGAAGCTGAACCTGAACGATCTGGTGAGCGTTCAGGAGGAGTACAACGTCACTGTGAGCCAGAACATGTGATTTAGGGACCAAATAGATGCGCGGGCAGGCATTGTCCGCGAAATATACCGGGTGTTTGCCTCAGACGCACACCCGGTATCAGCTTAATTTAATTAATTAAATACATTAGGTCGGTTATTTCGTCTTTATGAATCATACAGTTTATTTTCGTTGAAATATTGCGTTGTTTGTTATTATTTTTTTATATATAATACAGGGTGTCCCACTGGGAACGGCCGCGATCGATATCTGACAGCTGTAATTAGGAGACATTTGACAGTTGGACAGCAAGCGGTCTTAAATATTTTCAAAATGGCCACACTTATGGCCACTCAAATGGAACACCCTATATATTATGACATTTTTGAATTCTACTCACAATTCTAAATGTATGTCATGTATAATATCATGTACGTAAGTCTAACCGTTTTTGAGATATTTGAAATTTTATGTAAAAAATGACAGTTGCAGCCACTCGAATAATTGTTCAGTTTTTCTATAATAATTGGTCATACTTAATTTGAATCGCTTTTATTGTTGAAAAGGACTTTAAAGAAATTTCGAAAACATTTTGAAGACTATTAATACAAAGTGTTAAAAAAATACAGTTGAGAAAACCGACCAAAATCATTTTTTCCAAATGGAAACCCCCATTTTTGATAATTTTGTCATATGCAGTATTAAAAACAAGTGTAAGTTTTTGTAACGATGTCTGTATTCCAAAAGTGTTTAGTTTTCAAAATATTGCCAATTTATTGTTTTTATATGGCTATTTAGCCGCGTCTTATTTTAAGTCCTGTCACTCTCAGTTGCCATGACGAAAGGGGCCATTTTTAATGCAATCAAACACGCAAGGAATGCTGACAGCTGTCAGTTACCCATTGAAAATAATTCATAATCATGCCCGGGCGCTTCAATTAAACAAACGGAGATTATTTGAACTGTATTTTTTTAACACTTTGTATTAATGACCTCGCTGTTCAAATTTCTGCTAATTACAGTTTGCCAGATATCGACGGCGGTGGTTCCCGATGGGACACCCTGTATATATCCGGGCTGATTCACAGTACAGTACATGTCGTCCAGTATTTACTGTTATTAAGCGGGCACATACAGGGCGGGTGAAAAGTGCCGCCCCCACACGGCAGCATTTTATCTTGGCTCGCCGTGTATGTTCCATTAATGAATGATTTCGGTTTCTTCCAACTAAGCAAGCTGTGGAAACAAGTACTTTTTTGGCCAGTAGTTGTTGTAGACATTTGTCGGCGATTGGTCATGTTTCTACTAGTGCAAGTGAGGGCCGTGGCAAAGAAATAGTACAATTAATCTTATTATAATTATTATTATTGATGCGAATAAGATTGTTAATGTGGACGCCGAAAGTTTATCGATGTTAATGAAGTGCAATTCGCCGTTTTTCCTGTGTCTCACCTTGTAAGAAGATGTTCATAGAGTTGATGTTTAGTAAGCGCAATTAGGGGCGCTCAATTTCAGTATTAATTCTCGTGCTAAAACAGTGCAAAATTCGTCGATTACTTAACTGGAAGTGCGTCACCGCTTTTCCAATTCTCCCCCATTGAGTGCTTACTTAAATCAAAAAGTTAAAAAAGTGTCTTAACTATTATACAACGGAATACCCAGGGTTGGATCCAATTCCCCTATCGAGGAGATATCAGCTATTTTTGTGCCTACCAACTCAATGCATTCCGCAGATAATATACATATACCTATATTTTGTACCTAAACATTGTAATTTTGATGTACATATATTTGATAAATAGAGGGTTTATGATATACATCTTATTACCACAGAAAAAACTTTGCTTTACAGGGTGATATAGGCTAGTCCTACTAACAGAGCGCGCGGGTGTTTTCGGGTTGGCCGGTCGCTACCTACATTCTACTAATCTTTACACGAAGTTTTTTCTATGAAAATAAGCTTTATTTATAGGAGTTACCAAGAGTTATTGCACTAAGATTTACTGTTGACTAAGCGTCAGGAGGGTTTTTCACGTTTTTTATCCTTGTGTAACATTTGTTATTCATTGAGAGTGCCTTTTAGCACATCGACTGTTATTTACCATAAGTTTATGGCAAGTTTCTATACATAAGCACATTAAATGATTGATTCAGTGACTTGCTTTCATTCATTCCAACCTATTTGTACAGGATGGGCAAAATTGGTAGATTATACTGCCCAAAAATCGACCCCCGATGACTCAAAATCAAATCTTATGCACTGGAAAATGGCTCAAGGAATACAAATGAAGAGTTTTTCCCCAGTCCGAGAATTTATTACTTTGAAAGGGATTTTTCTTGGCGTAGCGGACAAATAATTTTTGGAATAAGAAAAATTTACTGCTTTCGGYGCCCTATTTGAACCTGCCGGGTTCAAATAGCGCCGAAAGCAGTAAATTTTTCTTATTCCAAAAATTATTTGTCCGCTACGCCAAGAAAAATCCCTTTCAAAGTAATAAATTATCGGACTGGGAAAAAACTCTGAAGATATACAGTCAAAAATTGAAAATCCGCTTATAGGACGCACTTTGCCTCAAGTGAATCTCCAACATCGCTGGTTTCTGGGAAAATAATTGCGAAACTTAGACCTGCATAAACAACCGCAACTGGAAAAATCCTGAAGATGACTTAAAGTCAAAACGCCGGCCATCTACCTAAATCTGAACACCCTGTATAGTATTGTCAGTCAAATTCACGCTTCCGGACAGTGCCACTATAGGCAACTTCCATTACACGCTTCAAATCCACTTCCGCAGCCGCGCGTCAGTTGTCGGTTGACGAACTCCTAACCTAGCTACTCAACAGCCTAACCTCAATTATCCCTATTTTTGGAAAAGCTATGTTTTTCCGCAAGCTGTCCGGCCGTTTGCTGCGTTGCGGCGCAGATCGGGCCTACAGCTACTCCAAGACACCCTCAGCTTTCACCAGGGCCCCAATTAGAACCACTCCTGATGACCTGCTCAAAGGCGCACTGGAAACCGTAAAACCAGTGAAAGAGCAGGACTGGGATCAACTGAAAAGCCTGGTGCTAAGCGCACAGCACCGGGGGATGCTCCGGGACGACAACATCGATGGGATGATTATGGTGACTATTGCACAACTAAAAAGGCAAGCCGGATAAAATGCTGTGGGCCCTCAAGCTAAACCCCCGCATTGCAGAATAGACTTGGCGAAAAGTTACTTGGACTATCTGAAAGCCAACGGAACCAAGCCCAACTTAGCAACCGCTGGACGATACTTGTCCATTTTGTACGAACATCACAGGGACAATATCTCCAAGCCCATTGAAAGCGAAATAGTCGCCATGTGCTCGGAAATGCGGACAAACAACCCGATTTTGGACTCGAAAACGTTAGACTTCATAGTGCGGGCGCTGTCCTTGACAAAGGACTGGAGGAAATGTCTTGAGTTTATGAAGGTTCAATGTCAAAATGCTTCCAATTAACGGGTAAAACATCGGCCAAAACTGTTGCAGGAAATTAAATTAACCGGCTTCATTTCCACTGCGACGTACAACGCGATGGCGGCCGCAGCCTTTCGCAACACGGACGAAAAACTGGCCTGGAGCCTCCTGCGGGAAGCCCTTGAATCTGAAAAGACCCTAAGCAGCACCCCATTTCTTGCATACCTGAAAACGCTGAAGCGACTGCGTAAGCGGGAAGACACCATCAAGGGCCTCGAGAAGATGTTCAAGTTTTTCAAAGAAAGCGAAATCCCTTGCCACGAAGGCCTAGTGGACGACATCATCCAGTCTTTCAAGCTGGGCGAGAAAACCACAGTAAGTGCGCTGGTGCGGCCAAGGAAATTCTCTTCTTATCGATTTAGGTAACATTTGCAGGAAAATGCCGATGCTGTGGAGCTAAGCTCGATCAGATGGAGCTAACTGATGGGGAATTCGCCGATCTTAGGGCGCTGTTTTTCGCAAACGCCATAGTGGGCAAAGACATCTTCATCAAGTCGAACCCAGAGGAAATGGCTCGGTTTCAGGACTTTATCGCCAACATGGCCCCACACGATGTGGTGCTGGATGGACTGAATGTGGCCTATTCAATTGGAGTGAAATCTGGCGCTCAATACCAATCGAAACTCGTAAGATTAAATAGTTTTTGGATGATAACGACTAAAAAATAAGCGCAAAAAACATAAAATTATTTTTTCCAGCTGGCCAATGTTGTATCGCACTTCCGAGAACAAAACAAGACTGTTTTGGTATTGGGGCGCATGCATATGAACCGTTGGCCGCGAGACAAATGGGACTTCGTCAGAAGGAACGCCACGCTGTTTTTAACGCAAAATATTTCCCAGGTAAAACCTTTTCTCGGCTTCTCCAGCTGTTTTAAACGCGCTATTCCAGGACGATCCCTATCTGCTCTACTGCGCCCTCAAATCCGGCAAGGATACAATAGTGGTGACCAGGGACCTGATGCGCAACCACAGATTCGTTCTTAAAGACCGCAAATACAAGGTTTTGTTCAATAGGTGGCTGACGCAAAGGCAGTACATGCCTTTGAATTGCCACTCGAGAAGGGTGACTTTCAAGAAACCCCCGGATTTCAGCGCGATCGCCCAGGAAAAGTGGCACGTCCCCTACACGCCGAAAACCGGGCCCCAAACGGACGAATCCCATCATCAAACATGGTTGTGCATTGACTGCAGTTAATAAAGCTATCGATCAATATAAGGAGTAATTTTTTTGCTGATAATAACACACCAGCACAATTTTTTAGAGCAACTTTATTATTTACCGTAAGTTACTCGGCATCATCGTCCTCATCCTCCTCCTGGTTGTTGATCTGGAAGTACCTCAACTCGTACGAGTCCTGTCCAGAAGCAACAACCCTCAGCCAATCCCTGAGATTGTTCTTCTTCAAGTACTTCTTGGTGAGATACTTCAGGTACCTGCAAACACGAACCGTTAAACAGTGTCTGGCTGAACTTTCTGAAAGCCAAGCTTGTAGCTGCCCAGTGTATTGAACTAGTCATGGTAATGCACCAGCCAACATAGCGAGGTACAGCGTTGATTTTGCAGTGCTAAACGCCACGCCAACTAGGGAAACGTTGCGTGGAGCTGGGACTGCTATGAACCTCAAAGGGGGCCACTCACCTTTTCGAGAACGGGATTTCAGAGCTCAGAACAATTTTGGTGTTCTTCTCACTCCCCAGCGTAACCGCATGCTGGCCCGATTTGCCACCAGCAAAGTTATTCGCCTTCCCGTTGATCTTGATGCTTTCCTTCAAATATTCTTCCTACAAAAAAATGGACCACGTGGAATATGTACATGAAAATCACACTTTCTCTAAACTAAAACAGTGTAGCTGCCCAGTGTATTGAACTGGCAATGGCAAAATGCCAGCCAACATAGCGAGGAACAGCTTTAATCTTGCAGTGCTAAACGCCACGTCCAACTAAGCAAACCGTTGTGTGGAGCTGGGACTGCGTTATTAAGGAAATTTTTAACACTTACGAAGTTCGACACATCCATCAGATTGTCTTCAACAGGGTGGGTGCAGTCGATGTAGAACTTTAAGGCGACTTTTTTCTTTCGGATATTTTTGCCCCTCAACTGCTGTTTCTTGGGGGCTGCTTTGCTTTTGCCAGCAGCAGCCGCAGCGGCGGCGGCAGGTTTAGTCTGGAATCAACAACATTAATTAGTTGTCTTTCAGCCAGACTAAATTTTCTTGAGGTGGTGCCCCATATGATACACAACCATCATCCGACAAAACCATTGGGATCAGCAACGAAACCTGAATGATTAATTCGCAAATTGAGTGAAAACTAATAAAAATCATTGAGGATGCTCGAGATTTTTACAGATTTAAAATGCGTACTTACGGTCACCATGTTGTTTCTTCAAGCGTCACTTTGCAAAGAATGCGGAAGTCGAAGCGCGCAGGAAAGAAGCGCCAAGCGCGTTTGACAGTGATGGTGGGGGCATTGTGAAGTTAGCACTGCATATTCGTGCACGTTCACAGCGTTGCCGATCCGATCGGATAAAACTAGGTGTGACGTAGGTGGACGGAAAGCAAATCTGGATGGAACCGGTGGGATATTAACTTTTTTGCTCAAATGCGCCTACTAAACGCTTAGCACTATAAATATGCAATGAAGGCTGTAAAATAGCATTGAAGAAAATTCCGTTACTCCTGGGTTAATAATTTTCCAACCTCATAAATAATAATTAACATGTTTTCAGCATAACTCTGGATTAAGTTGGCGTTGTGACGTCGGCGACTGGATTTTTTCATTAATTCCTTACAGGAGCAAAACAGATAAAGAGACACACTCATCTCCGAGAGGAGAAAAATATAATTTTGCAATTTTTCCTGATTACTCTAGAGGATTTTTTTAAATATTTATTGCAAATTAACTAATTTTCTACTTCACTTTACGTGCACAGGGTGGTTGATGGTAAATTTTGGAACGGATGAAAAATAATTCGCATTCGAAACATTATTCTACAGTATTTTTAAAATATTTATTGCAAATTAACCAAGTTTTTATCGACTTTATTTTAAGTGCACAGTGTGCTTGATGGAAAATTTTGCAATGGATGCAAGGCAATTCGCATTCGAAACATGCAAATAGTTGCACTAACTAGCAGTGCCTCAATGCGTTTTATCGAACCGCAAATAATAAAATCGCATCAAAATTCCAAAAAACTATTGTATGTTAAAGGGAAAATGCTCAAACGCCATTGCAACAGTATGCAAATGATGCGATTACATAAAAAATATTAATCAATTCCAACCTACTATACTAAGCCGCCCTGCCGATCAATTTACCTTATTTTCAATTTTTTCCCGAAAAGTTCGACCGAAACATTTTCGGCCTGACTTGGTCCGATTGGTTGCGATTTTCGTCACTTAAAACGCCCAATTTTAGAACAAAGCTATCGGCAAAAATCCTGTCTTGATTCCGGCCATGTAGTAGCTCCTAATAGGTGCAGTTTTCGCATATTTGCAAAGCTGCAGGTATATAAGGGATATTACTATATGTCGCATTGGTCGCTTATAATATTAAAGTGACGTGCAGTGTATCTAACTACTTTTCGTCTCCCTTGTACGTTTGTATTTTGAATTTTAGTGCTTTTTCAAAAATAAAATATCGAGCTTCGAGCTACAAATAAATTAAGAAAACACTTTGAAGTTCTTCTCGATAAACGCGGAAAAGCTAAGAAGGTTTATGGTCAAGGCGCCAGCTGACCAGCTCTTCATTATTTTTTGTCAAGTTTTATTGAATGTTCATCGCTGCATTTTTATCTCAAGCGATTTTGATGAAACTTTTCAGGTATTTTGAGCAACAGTTCAGCCATGACAACGGATAAGGAGCCGCAATCGGAAAATGACCCCAGCATGCGAATTGGCACTATCCTGGCCCGACCACCACCTGGTGAAGAACTAGTTATATCTGGTTAGTATAGGAAGATATTATTTGCATCCGACTTGCACATTTAGTCGGTGCACGTGCAAATAGATAACACCACTGTTTAAAACTAATGAGTTTTCCGGGCTTTTAGGCCGTCGTTCGGTAGAATTTCTTCTTGACGTTTCGCAAGCACGAGTGGCTTGCATCTTCAGAAGTGGTTTGCTTGAACGCTTACACTGTTCTCATCAGAACCCGCGTTCAGTTCTGCGGAAGAACTGATCGGGTTCTGATGAGAACAGTGTAAGCGTTCAAGCAAACCACTTCTGAAGATG